AAACAGCAACGCGCGGAGGGCCCAGGAGCCTGGGGGTGTCAGACGTGGTGGGGGCGTGGTGGGGGGTGCCGGCGTTTTTTTGCAGACGGCACGCACGGAGGGCCCAGGAGCTTGGGGGTGTGAGACGTGGTGGGGGCGTGGTGTGCCGGCGCGTGTCTTTGCAGGGTGGGGGGTCTTTAAAACAGCACACACGGAGGGCCCAGGAGCAGTCTCGGGGTGTGAGACGTGGTGGGGGCGTGGTGGGGGGTGCCGGCACGTGTTTTTGCAAAGTGGGGGGTCCTTACACAGCACACACGGAGGGCCCAGGAGCCTGGGGGTGTCAGACGTGGTGGGGCGTGGTGGGGGGTGCCGGCGTGTGTTCTTGCAGGGTGGGGAGTTTTTAGAACAACACACACGGAGGGCCCAGGAACCTGGGGGTGTCAGACGTGGTGGGGGCGTGGTGGGGGGTGCCGGCGTGGTGGGGGGTGCCAGAGCGTGTTTTTGCAGGGTGGGGTGTCCGCAAAATAGCACACACACAGAGGGCCCAGGAACCCGGGGGTGTCAGACGTGGAGGGGGCGTGTTGGCTGTTGCTGGCGCGTGTTTTTGCAGGGTGGGGGGTTTTGAAAACAGCTCACACGGAGGGCCCAGGAGCCTGTGGGTGTGAAACGAGGTGGGGGCGTGGTGGGGGGTGCCGGCGCGTGTGGCGGCAGGGTGGTGTGTCCTTACAACAGGGCGCTCGGAGGGCCCAGGAGCGTGGGGGTGTGAGACGTGGTGGGGGCGTGGTGGGGGGTGCCGGCGCGTGTTTCTGCAGGGCGGGGGGTCTTGAAAAACACACACAAACACACACGGAGGGCCTAGGAGCTTGGGGGTGTCAGACGTGGTGGGGGCGTGGTGGGGGGTGCCCGCGCGTGTTTTTGCGGGGTGCCTGGGAGCCGTACACGACGGCGGTGAGGCGCGAGTTCAGAGAGGACGACCGGTCCCGCACAGGAGAGCGAGACCGCGACCGCGACCGCGACCGCAACCAGAGCGCGTCGGGTGCACCTTGGCGCAGACACGACGCCAAGGACTGGGACAGAACAAAGGAGCGCTACTGGGACCAGAGCCACGACACTGGCAGGGGCGCAGGTAGCGCACCCTGGCGCCAGCCAGAATCGTGCAATTCTTATTACAAGAACGACCGCAGCCACACCGACACCAGCCGGACGCGCACCACCTCCAGCGTTGAATGGCAGCGCCTCCCAAACGAGACAGCGGTAACACACCCGAAGAGGCTGCAAGCAGAAGGGGGAAACCATTTTAACGCAGCCTGGCATTCGTGGTGCAGGCACATGTGCAAGGAGCAGGGCAAGGGCAAATCCAAACACCAGGCGCCCTTCGACCCATGCCGCTGGCAGCAGTGGATCATCGACAAATTCCTGGATGACATGAGCGCCAACAACTACCACGTGGACCGATGGTCCAGCAGCGCAGGCGTCTACGTGGACTGGGATCGGGAGCAGAAGCTCTACCAGAAAGTGCAGAGGAAAAGGGAGGTCGCTAAGGGTGACGGGCGCGACGGGGACCAGGCGCGCAGCTCCGGGTACCACGACACCTGGATTGGAAAGCGCCCGCGGCGCTGACTGACGTCGACCCGACCACACTTGCCCCACAGCACCACAGCACAAGTAGCCAATCGGCCCCACTACCTGCGCCCCCGTCCCCGGCCCACACCCCCACCTGTCACCTGGCTGGGGACCGTGCGTCCCTCTCCTCCCCTTTACCTGCATCCCAGCGCCCCTGTGGCGCCCGCGTTCCACGTGCTGGCTACCCACCGTTCCACCTGGACCCCGTCCTTTCCTCCTTCTCCCCTCCCTCTCTCCCGTTTCCAAGGATCTGGGACTCTGTGTCCTACCTGTACCTGTCGGCCGAATGAGATTCATGGATCTGGGACTCTGTGTCCCCCCTGCACCCACCTGCGACGCATTGGTGCGCCAGCGACGTGTGTGACACGCCCGCGTTGGGGCCTCGTGTCTTACTTGTACGCATTGGGGCTCGTCCCCACGTGAGCACCTCGGTGCATGCTGGCGCGACTTCGGCTGGCGTGGGACGCCGGCCTCTCTTCTCCCTGTTCGCTTCTTCCCCCCCCGCTCGCTTTCCCCCCTGCCATGGCGGCGGCGCCCAGCACGGCGCGGCTCCGGCCCGGTGCTGGCGCTGCACCTTGCCGCTTCGGCGGCCCCGCTTGCCCTGGGCAGCGCGGCTCAGGCCCGGCCCTCGGCATGCGGACTCAGACGGCCCTGCTTCTGGCCGTCCTCGTGGCTGCTTCCTGGACGTGGATTGGACGTCCACCCCAGGCCGCTACCGACCACCCGGTGGCACAACGTTGCGCATCGTTTTCGTGGTCATTCTCATTTCCTGGGCCTCTCTTTGCCAGTTGGTGGCACCTGTTGCTCTTCGCCTACCTGGTGTACCTCTACCCCCCGAACGTCGACCTGGTTACGTCCCTCCGCACGCAGCGCTCGAGGATGGTGATTTTGACGCGCCGTCGACGGCAACGCCACTTCGCTCTCCCTCTGGGACTTCGCCTCTGACTTTTGTCCAAGGCGTACCTTTTCCTGTGCGAGCTCTTCGGCACCGCTTGCACCCCGCGCCCTCCGGCCGCCTGAGGCCCCGCCCGCCCGCGCCCTGTCTCCCCAATTCGTGCTTTGCGCGCCCCGCCGAGTTCTTAACCGGAAGAGGCTCGCTCTCGACCCGCAGACCAACAAATTTTTGCAGGCTGGGGGATCTTTAAAAGAGCACGCGCGGAGGGTTCAGGAACCTGGGGGTGTCAGACGTGGTGGGAGCGTGGTGAGGGGTGCCGGCGCGTGTTTTTACAGGGTGGGGGGTCTTTAAAACAGCGCGCACGGACGACCCAGGAACTTGGGGGTGTGAGACGTGGTGGGGGCGGCGTGTGTTTTTGCAGGGTGGGGGGTCCTGAAAACAGCGCGCACGGAGGGTCCAGGGGCGTGGGGGTGTCAGACGTGGTGGGGTCGTGGTGGGGGGTGCCGGAGCGTGTTGTTGCAGGGTGGGGGGTCCTTACAACAGCGCGCGCGGGGGCCCAGGAGCTTGAGGGTGTCAGACGTGGTGGGGGTGTGGTTGGGGTGCCGGCGCGTGTTTTTTTGCAGGGTGGGGGGTCCTTAAAGCAGCGCGCACGGAGGGCCCAGGAACCTGGGGATGTCAGACGTGGTGCGGGCGTGGTGGGGGGGTGCCGGCATGTGTTTTTGCAGGGTGGGGTGTCCTTAAAACAGCACGCACGCAGGGCCCAGGAGCCTGGGGATGTCAGACGTGGTGGGGGCGTGGTGGGGGTGGCGGGCGCGTGTTTTTGCAGGGTGGCGGGTCCTTGAAAAAACACACACGGAGGGCCCAGGATCCTCGGGGTGTCAGACGTGGTGGGGGCGTGGTGGGGGCCGGTGGGGGCGTGGTGGGGGGTGCCGGCGCGTGTTTTTGCAGGGCGGGGGGTCTTCAAAAAACATCATACATGGAGGGCCCAGGAGCCTGGGGGTGTCAGACGTGGTGGGGTCGTGGTGGGGGGTGCCGACGCGTGTTTTTGCAGGGCGGGGGGTCTTAAAAAAACATCACACACGGAGGGCCCAGGAACCTGGGTGTGTCAGACGTGGTGGGGGCGTGGTGGGGGGTGCCGACGCGTGTTTTTTGTAGCGTGGGGGTAGGTCCCGACAACAGCACACACGGGGCCCGCAGAAGTAACAGAGGTGGAAATTGTCGTGTGGGGGGTGTCAAGAACAGAGCACCCAAGATGGCGCTGGGGTGAGGGGAGGTGCGCGGCAGGGTTGGTTCTGGGCTGGAAATTGTCGAGTGGGGATCCCGAAAGCAGAGTCAGGTTCCGAGGGGTGCGGATGCCGAGGCGAGGAGGGGGGTAGTGGTCGGGAGTCCCAAGGAATGAGCTCTCGTGGGCGGGAGTGCCGGGACTGGGTGAGCGTGTGGGGGTGATGCCTCTAGTACGTCCCTTTCCCTCACACGCCTATGGGGTCGGCGGATTCGAATTCCTCTTTAGTTCGATGTTTGTCCCTCAAGGGCGTCCGCGCGCGGGCCTACATCGTAAATGCCCGTCACAGTTGTTGTTGTTGTTGTTGTTGTTGTTGTTGTTGTTGTTGTTGTATCTGCCTTAAGCTACAGCAAGCACTTCCTAAACCAATTCGTCCTGTGCCTTCGCAACAACGAGAACATGTACAGTACTCAATGCAGAAATCTTAAAGGGTTCGAGGACATTCCACTTGGATAGGGGGGAGCGACGGAATTAATTTCCGACGGCTGTTCGGGTCCAGTCTATAGTCAGTCGGCTTTTACGGCGCCGATTCGGGCCCATTGTGATGCTGGCTTTGGGGACGTGTGGCCATCATTCGGCCGTTGTTTCTGACTGGTTGACTTCTCTGTGCGTTCCTTCATCATCTTACCCTTTCCGACTTTCTCCTCCCGTCGCCTCCTACTGGGGGAAAAACAAGGTGTTGGCGCGCTAGGTTCCCAGTCTCATCGGAAGCGTTCAGGGATGTTTTTTTTGTGGCGCCCAGCCTACTTACTCACTCTTCCTCCTGGTCCTCCTTCTCCTCCTCCCTCCCCTTCCGCCTTTTCCTCCCTCTTTACGACCTTCCTCCTCCTCCTCCTCCTCCTCCTCCTCCGCTTCCTCTTCCTCTTTCTGATTTTCCTGCTCCTCTTCTGTACTCGCTGAGAAAACGGATGAGTGGGGACTGTCGGGAAATCAGCTCCTGAAGTACACATTGTCCTGAGTAGACCCCCGACGCGCGCAGCTTCTCATGCGAGGCCATGGCCTCACCCGCCTCGCCTTTAAGGGGCCCGGGCGCATGCCCGCACAGGCGATCCGTATCCGTATCCGTATCTTCTGTACTCGTTCTGACCTTCCTCCTTCTCGGCCTCCTCATCCTCCTCGTCCTCCTTCTCGTCCTCCTCGTCCTCGCCCTCCTCTTCCTCCTCCTCCTCCTTCTCCTCCTCTCCACCTGTTCCTCCTCCTACTCCTGCTCCTGTGTCGGAGGATGGGCATATTCGGGGGCGGGCTGCTCTACGAGTGGCCCGTGGATATCGAGGCTGCCGCTGCCGCCGCTGTCGTCAACGTCGCTGCCGTCGTCTTCGCCGTGGTCCTCTGGCCACGCCCGTGTCGTGAGCGGCCTGCGCCCGCCTGAATGTTGTTGCCCAGCGGTCGACCATGCTCGGCTCTGAATTCGTGTCCGCATGGGGTGGACTACTTGCTCTGCGCGCGTAGCCCTCCCCACATGTTGCCAACCGCTGCATCGGAGGAAGGAAATGAGCCTGTGTCGTAAGCTTTTTTCAGAGGCCTCGGCGTGTCGATTCCATTTCTTCGTCAACGTCGCTGCCACCGTCGCCGTCGCTGCCGTCGCCGTCGGTGCCGCCGTCGCCGTCACCACTGTCGTCGCCGCCGTAGTCGCCGTCGCCATCGTCGTCGCCGTCGCCACCGTCACCGTCTGATTAAACTCCGCTCGAACCTGGTCCTGCGACACTTCCCCTGATCCGTCCTGAAGGGTTCTTTTTTGCGGGCCAGCGTCGCTGTCGTCGTCGACATCGTCGTAGTCGTCCTCGTCCTCGTCGTCGTCGTCGTCGTCGTCGTCGTCGTCGTCGTCGTCGTCGTCGTGGTCGTCGTCGTCGTTGTGGTCGTCGTCGTCGTCGTCGTCGTCGTCGTCGTCGTCGTCATCGTCGATGTCCTCGTGCCGCAGCGGTTCTCGGCCCTGCCGCAGTGGTTGCCCTCACCCACGGGCGACCAGCTCCAGCCAGCCAGCCAGCCTGCGGTGGGGCCGCACCAGGGGGGTCACACGGTGGACAGGTGCGCGCTGGCGGACGAGCACACCAGAGGCGTACGTGCATGCCGGTCTCGGGCGGGCGGTAAGGGGGGGTGACCGAATTGGGGGTGAAGAAATATGCCCCAAAGGGGCCCTGTAGGGCTTCTTTGGGAGCCAGTGGGTGCCCAAAAGGGGCCCCTTTGGACCTCCCTCTCCCCCCCCCATTTGTCGGGGGTGGACAGACCTCCTGACCTGACACGTCGACTGAGGAATTGGCCGTTTTCGGTTCGCGAGAGGGCGTCGCGGCCGTCATTTTTGCGGGTCCAGGTCCGTCGGTTTCGGTCCCAGGCCGTTTTCACTAAGGGGAGGTGTACTAAAGGGAGGTTTGTCCACCGCCGAATTTGGGTCACCCCCCACTACCGCCTGCCCGACGGTCAAGATGCAGCTCCTGGGCGGTTCAGGTCAATACCGGCGTTTGTACATGCGTGGTCGGACGCCGGCTTCATCCAGCACGATCCCGTTTCATCCCGCTCAGTCTGGCCTGATTTGGTTTTATCTTCGGCTTGCTCTGGGCCGATGCGGCTTGATGGTCCCTTAATCGAGCGTGTTAGCCCATGATCGTTCTTTCCAATACCTCCCAGAAATTACATCCTGACGCCGGTGGGGAGATTACGGCCGAGCCGCTTTTCGGCTGCGCGTACGAGTGAACCTTTGCTGGAGTGACCTGTGGTACGGGTCCACAGGGGTCGCTCCACTATTGGCGTTGTCGATCGCATTTGCCCCCCCCCCCCCCCCCCCCATGGCCCTCTCAAGCCGCGCACAAGAGGACACTCTTGCCTTGGGGGGCATCGTGCGTATAGTCGAACTGACGGTGCCCAGTGCACCCGCAGAGGAGAACGTGGTGGAGCGGCGCTCAGGTGCCACGGGCCGCCACGGGCGTGAGATGGATCTCATGCGTGTACCTCGTTGCCAAATCCACCGTCCACCGTTGTCAAATCCAGCGTCCATTTGTAGGGGCTTCCAACCTTTGTGTATGTAACAACCGGGGGGCGTTTCGGCTCCAGGGCACTGTCCGTGCCCGGCCGTGTGTGGAGCCGGCGAGCGTTTCATTCCAGGAGTTGGCCTCTAGTATTTCCCGTGCTTGCCAGCCCCTGGTGGTCCGCTGGCCACCTCACTACTTGACTGCTTCCCGTGTAGGCCTGCCCTCTGGCACACACGCACAATGACTTCATGGTCTGAGTGTGCTCCGCCGCCCGCGGCTTCCCTTCCCCCTCTCCGCCTCGCCCTTCCACTCTCCTGCCGTGCCTCATTAGGCACCCGTGCGTCCCTCACTGTCGCGACCGCGGCTGGGAGCCAAGTCGCCGCAGACGTGAACGTTTCACTCCAGGAGGGGTGGCCGCCAGTTGACCACGCCGATGCTCTGAGCTCCTCCATCGGAGCCCCCGGCGTGACATTTCCGCCGCCACCGTCTCTGCTGCCGCCGCCGCCGTCGTCGCGGGTCGCCGCCGCCGCTGTCTGGGCAAACACCAATCACTCCAATCAAGACTGGCCCTCCGAGACCTCCCAGAGTCCGCCCTGGCGGGTTCTGTTTTGTAGGCTCGCGCCAGTGCCGTCGTCGTCGTCGTCGTCGTCGTCGTCGTCGTCGTCATCGTCGTCGTCGTCGTCGTCGTCGTCGTCGTCGTCGTCGTCGTCGTCAGCGTCGGCGTCGTGGTCGTGGTCGTGGTTGTGGTCGTGGTCGTGATCGGGATCGGGATCGTGATCGTGATCGTGATCGTGGTCGTGGTCGTGGTCGTGATCGTCGTCGTGATCGTCGTCGTGATCGTGATCCTGATCGTGATCGAGGTCGTGGTCGTGGTCGTTTTCGTGGTCGTGGTCGTGGTCGTGGTCGTGGTCGTGGTCGTGGTCGTGGTCGTCGTCGTGGTCGTGGTCGTGGTCGTGGTCGTGGTCGTCGTCGTCGTCGTCGTCGTCGTCGTCGTCGTCGTCGTCGTCGTCGTCGTCGTCGAGGCCGCGCCCACCTTCCTGGCGCGGCTTCGGGCCGCGGAGAAGCCCGACGCTGCTGGCGAGGACGGCCCGCTGCGCGAGCCGCCGCCCCTCGAGGGCCTTCCGCCTTCCTGCGCCGCCTCGGCTTCTCCGCCCTCCTGCGCCGTCCGCCTCCTCCGCCTCCTCCGCCCTCCTCCTCCTCCTCCTCCTCCTCCGCCTCCTCCTCCTCCTTCTCCTCCTCCTCCCTATCCTCCTCTCTTCTCCTCCCTCCTCCTGTTTGATCTTTCCCGCCTCCTCCCTTCCCTTTCCTCCACTGCCTCCCTCCTCCTGCGCTCCACCGCCCTCGCTCTTCCCTCCCCCTTCCGCCCCCTCCGATCGTGGCCTTTGCCCTCTCTCCCCCTCCTCGACCCGCCTCGCGCCGCCACTGCCTTCCTCCGCTGAGCGCCGTCCTGTGCCGCCCCGCCGCGGGTCGGGGCCAGCAGGGCATCGTCGTGCTCCGTCCGTCGGCCAGCGAAGGTGCTCCTTCCTTCTCCTCCTCCTCCTCCCCCTCCTTTCTCCCCCCCCCTCCCCTCCCCTTCCTCCTCTTCCTCCTCCCTCCTCCTTTCTCCTCCCCCTCCTCCTCCCCTTCCTCCTCCTCCTCCTCCTCTCCTCTCCTCCTCCTCCTCCTCCTCCTCCTCCCTCCTCCTCCTTCCTCCTCCTCCCTCCTCCTCCTCCTCCTCCTCCTCCTCCTCCTCCTCCTCCTCCTCCTCCTCCTCCTCCTCCTCCTCCTCCTCCTCCTCCTCCTCCTCCTCCTCCTCTCCTCCTCCCCATCCTCCTCCTCCCCCCTCCCCTTCCTCCTCCTCCTCCTCTTCCTCCTCCTCCGACGACGGCCAGGACGAGGATCACTGGTCGAGGAAATGATCGCGGTCGCCCACGAGGAATGCAGAGCAGACGTTTGGGGGTGGTCAAGGTCAGCGGGAATGCCCAAATATGCAACCCTTGAGTGGGCTGACCTGAGCATCAGCCAGTTCAGTTTTTTTTCAGCAGCCTCCTCCTACCTCTCCCGGGTCAAGCTTCAGGAGGGGCTGCTCACCAGCCCGAAGACCGAAGAAGAGTTTTCCCAGGTTTCAGAGTCCAGGGAGACTATCTGCCCCCCCTTGCCCTTCCAGCTCGAAGCCTTCCTGCCACATGTTCTCGAGTTGTACCCGCATGATGCCACCAAAAAGTGGCTCCGTTCAGCTATCCCCCTCTCCCCGCTCTCCACTCCCCCAGTGCGTGTCATAGTCTATACGGATGGAACAGGAGGCAGGATGCGGCGGGCATCCCAGTTGTGCCAGCAGCAGCGGCAGTCGTGATGCACCACTGCTTCGATGGGTCATTCGCTATCGCAGGGTATCTGGCGTCCATCATCCCAGAAGATCTATTGGAGGACTTTCCCACCCAGCCGTCTTCTTCTTTGCGAGCTGCTGGCCGCGGCGTGGGCGCTTGCCTGCACTGCCCAGGCACCATGCCAGGAGGTACCAGTTGAGTTTGCCCTCGACTCAATGCGGACGCTTGGCATCATCTCCGGGTCCATGCGCGTCGACCAAGCCAATGCAGTCTCACTCCTCCTACGCCCCTCGCTCAGTGGTTCAGTGGACACTCGGAAAGTCACGTTTCAACATGTCGTGCACACGTAGCCGAATGATTTAACGAGCTGGTGGACACGCTGGCTGGACTCTCTGGGGTGTGATTGCTACCTAGCACGCCGTTCACCTCGTTTGAGTGGCTGATGTTTCACGCCATCCCTATGGCGCGGCTCTGGATGTGTGAACGCGGGGTCCAACTTCAGTCTCCTGAAGCACCCTTCCCGAGGATCCTTGAGGACAACATCATGGGCCCCCCTCCAGACATTCAAAGGGGGGTACACGACGGAGGAGGTTAGTGGAGGCCCCCGACAGTTCTTAGGGCGCAGCAGGGAGACGCCGCCATTGGTGGTCACGTTCGGGGTGGACAACGTTCTTACACGCAGGAGCAACACAGGTAGGATAGGTGGGCCCGACAAGGAAGGGCAGGGCTGTCGTCGGCAAGAACTTTAGCAGTCCTTGATCTCAATGCCCCTTGGCAGGCTTACGATGCCAGGGAACCAGTTTAATGCGTCAGGCTACGGCGCGATGGCCCCCATCAAGACCAGACTGGGCACTCAAATGCCAAGCACATCAGGCAACTATGATGTGTACTGCAGTGCGGGCGAATGTCAAACTCCCTCTCTCTGATGGTCGACCTCCGCTCTCACGCAAGCAGATTGTTCTCCATTCCGACCCCACGCGCGAGCTGCAGGCCATAGGCCACATGAGAGGCAGTCAGGGACAAGGATGTTCTAGCGAAGTGGTGGAGTCAACGCCTCCAGCTTGTCCAGCCGCGCACGGGCAAGGAGCTTGCAGTCATCGCGGCCTGAGGCGCCAATGCAGCAGTGGGGTCTATTATAAGCGAACGTGTTGGTAGAGTACGTGCCTCCACAATTTTGTCGACAGCTCGATTTTTGCATCCCCTCCACCTTTCCCCCCAGCACTCGATCCACTCGGTCGCTTCAGCCCTGCTCACCAGACTCATCAGGAAGAGCACGCAGGTCGAATGCGCACCAGTGTATCTCGACCTCGTATGGTAGCTCAGGTCGAAGTCGAACAAAAGCTGGATCTGCCCACATACCGCTGCCACGATCGGCGACCAACATGACACCGCCTCTGACAGCTGACTGGATCTGGAGTCGCTGTTGCGATCGCTGTCCTCGCTCAGAACCTCGTCGTCCTGGAAGCTTTTGTAACCACGAATTTGGGCATGATGCGGCGTCGCCATTCCGCGTTCAGCAGCTGCTCCGGCCGCCGCGGCTGGAGCCCTGCACCCTCAGGGAGGGTTGCCCGCGGGGGCCGCCTCTTCCGCTGGCGGCGCCTGGAAGCGAACCTCCTTCTTATCCTTACCGTCGCCGTCGCCTATCAGAAACTCCAGGTTGTCGGGCTTCGGCTGCAGCCTGTCCACCAGGTAGCTGGTGCGCTTAGTCGACGAAGTCTCCTGGAACCAGGAGCAGGGCAGAAGCCGATGCCCGCTCCTACTGTCCGTCAGGTTGTAGCTCCTCGTGCCGGCCGGCTGCACGAGCTCTCGGCGCCCAGGGAGGAGGAGGAGGAGGAGGAGGAGGAGGAGGAGGAGGAGGAGGAGGAGGAGGAGGAGGACCACAGGTCGAGGACACCTGGGCCGCACGCGACCACGGCGTCCAGCTCCTTGAGCCAGCTGTTGCCGAGCGGTGCCAGCACGTCGCTGCCTGGAATCGCTGGCGCCGTGCCCTCCGCTTCCTGGGCCGATCTCCCGAGTCCCCATCGGCAGCAGCCACTGCTCTCGGCAGTCGTCTGGACCTTTGCCGACGCCGTCTACCTCCAGGGGCCCTCGGAGAGGAGCCTGTCGATTTCGTTGTTCTCTCCCGCTCGTTCTGCCCTCCTGCTGCGGTTCGTCCAGTCCAGCCATCTTCGGAATTGGGGTGAAGCGGACTCCACCCACGTTGACAGTCATGGACGGCAGGCCGAAGATCTCCGTGGCTGTCGGCGCCGAAGTCGCCGGCGAGGCTGCCATCGAACACGGAGTCTCAGACCTAGACGACTTAGCCTTGTGAGGACCAGGGCTTCGCCGCAGCCGCCCTGAGGCTGGCTGGGCACTCCTCCACAGCCGCCCTGTGGCTGGCAGGGAAATGGCGCCTCGGTTGGCGCCGCACTAGAGGTGAGTCCTGGAACATGTCCTAGCCCGAAAACTGGCCCCATTGGGATTTTGCTGTGTTGCATCCCCGTGGATGGCGATCCTTGGGTCGCTCCCTCAGCAGACTTCGGTCTGGCTGTTACTGCCATCGCGCTTGGCAGGGCCAACATCGGACATGCTGGACCTCCACTCGCTGATGATGCTGACCCTCCGCCGCCATAGGCTGACGGTGGCCTTCTGTCGTGCCAGTTTTCCGGAGCATCTCCAGCCGTGGCGGCGAGGGACCCCTGGAGGCCTTTGAGTCGGTGATGGGGGTCCGAACACTGCCCCGCCATGGCTTGGGCGTCCTTAATGGCCGTTGTGGGCCTTGGATTATGTCGGGCCTGTCCCCCTACAGGGGGAATATTCAAAAATAGTCAAACAATAGTCTGGGGACTATTTTTGTGTATTTTTTGGGGGCCATTTTGGAACATTTTTTGAGTATTTTTTTATTTTTCGTCGAAAATCCCCCTGTAGGAGGACACGCCCGACTTCACCTTTGAGTCGGTGATGGGGGTCCGAACACTGCCCCGCCATGAGCTTGGGCGTCCTTAATGGCCGTTGTGGGCCTTGGAGGCGCGATGGCCACGCCTGTGAAACCCTTGGTGCTGGGCGCACTCACGCCGTCGGCCTCCTCGGGGTTCTCGGCGGACTCCGACGCGACGAAGCTCATCGCTGCTGCTCCGTGGGCTGTTGCCGCGCAGCCTGAGGCTGGCGCTCCCGCGCTCGTCGTGAATGCTGCAGTCGGTGTCGAGGACGAGCCCAAAACCAAACAAGGGGATAGAGGAGCCTGCGCCCGCCACCGGGCGGGCACCTCCGACGATGACGGCGCCTTTGCCTCTACCTTTGCCCCTCCTGCGGGGGCAGTCCTTGATGAGGTCGTACTCGGACTCGCAGCCCTTCGTGAGGCACTTCATCACCTTGCCGTCCCTGCCGATGGGGCTCCGTCAGCACTTGCACTCGAAGTGGTAGCTTCTTCCTTGGTGTCGTTTTCCAAAGGCGCTTCCGCGGTTGGGCAGGAGGCTGCCTTTGCTACGTCCTTTTCCAGAACTCTGGGACCTCGTCGGTCTTCAGTGAATCGTCTCCAGCGTTTCTGGGCGAACAGGTAGCACTGGTACAGGCACTGCTGGATCACCTCGTCGTCCAGGCCGATCTGTCCTTGTAAATTCGACCCATCTAGATCCTCACGTCGTCGTCGTCGTCGTCGTCGTTATCCGTGTCGTTATCGACTTCGTCAGCGCCGTTGCCGAGGTACGCGCTTCACGGATCAGGAGGAGGAGGGGTAAGATCTCACTGAACTAACGGGTCCATCATGGTGTTTCCGGCCGCGAGGCCGTTTGCAAACCAGCA